ACCTTCCTGCTTACTAGTAACCTCGTCAGTCGGCACCAACATGGATTTCTGCTTTCCAAATCCTGTCAAACCTGCAAATTTGAGTTCCTCAACCACGTAACTCAACAGATTGACAACAAGCAAGCACTAGCCATTATCTTCCTTGACGTGACAAAAGCCTTTGACAGAGTACCACATACAGAACTCTTGATGAAGCTGGAATCATACGGTATCTCCGGCAAACTGCACACTTGGTTCTCATCATATCTTACAGCTCACTCACAGTCAGTAATGGTTGGGGACTTTATGTCACTTCCAAAACCAGTCAAAAGTGGCGTAATTCAAGGAAGCGTTTTAGGCCCTCTACTATTCTTGCCCTATATCAACGACGTGTTCCAGGTTTTTAAACATGGGACACCCTACCTCTTTACCGACGACATCAAAATTGTCTTCTCATTTCATCCGTCAAACTTCCCCACTTCCCTCTCCCATATACAATACGACTTAATAGTCCTAGCTGCAAGGTGCGACACATGGAAGTTGGCATTCACACCAGTAAAATGCAACGTCCTTACATACAGATTCACCATGCCAACCAATACATTAATGCTACAAGGCACGCCATTAGGGAACTGCCTAACTGTGCTGGACTTGGGCGTTCACTACTCCTGTTCGCTGAACTTCGCGGAACAAGTAGTTTATTCCGCAGCAAAAGCGCGCTCTTCCATCGGCAACATCCTCAAAACCATGACAATACAAGAATCTAGAACTGCACTCTACAAAGCATATGCCTGGCCTCTGCTAGAATACTGCTCTATAGTATTCACCAACCTAAGAATGTGCGACAGAATAGCCCTCGAAAAAGTTCAGCGTACCTTCACATAACGCCTTCTGGGGCACTCAAGTCTCAGTTACTGTGATCGATGCAACACACTTGGGCTCGACCCGTTATGGCTGTGCCGACTGAAAACCAATCTCGCTTTCCTATGTTCGCTTATTAACAATCCCAATGGGAGCCCACTAACTCCTGTCTCAGGCTCACATAACATTTCGTACCCCCTACGTGATAGACCCAACTCCCGTATCCTACCAAGAACGTGCAGTAGTATTCGCTCCAGATTCTACCTCTACAGATACGCACATGTATGGAATAGGTTACCTCTCACAATAAGGGCATCTATGAATATAAACCAATTCCGTTTCTCTATTAGCAAATACCTCTGTCACACAAGTTGCCAAACTTCTGAATATCAACTGTCCAGAAGACGTCTTTTGAAACTGGACCAGACCACTTATAACCTCCTTCTCTTACCTTCCCACACTATCTCCTTCCGGACTCCTAATATTTCTATCTGCTTGCTTCCACCAACAACCCCTTATGTCTTCCATCACCTAGGTATCAGCCACCGGATACCGAATGCCTATGCATTCCCTCAAATCTCCCACATCTGGCTAGCTCGAGACATCCGCCTCTGGCTAATCGCATCAACTTAACTGGCTACTACCTAGATGGTGAAGCCGGCGTGCGTAGGACCTCAAGTACCAGTTGAGGTTGCCCAAATATATCCTAATCGCCAAGCTGACACCGTTATCTCTTATACTTGTTACCCTATGAAGCACGACAACATGGAATCTTCTCTTTTAATCGCGCTTCCATTTATCGTATATTCCTACTACATCTCTTACTTGTTTGGCTCCGGATTTCCTCTCCCATTAAGGTGCTCCACCGACTTAACTCACACTGTAGCTCCGAAAATTTGTGCGTAAGGCTTCAAGAATCTGGCTATGATGCATACCTATAACCTTATCTCGTCCTAACTATTTACTCATCCCTTTGACCATGGCTTTCCTCTACACTTATGCACCACCTAAATCTGATGCTCCACCTACTCAACTTCCACACTGTAGCTCCACAAATTTATAATTCTTACCCCATAAACCAAAACACCATTATATATTCTCCTTTAATCCCGCTTCCATCTATCCAATATTCCTCCCACTTCACTTACCTGTTTGCCTCTGGCTTTCCCTCCTCCAATCCGCCACCTACCTACGGACCTCCAACGACTTTTCTTTCACACTATAGCTCCGCATTTTCGTGTATACGACCTCAAGTATCTGGCCATGATGCATACCTATAAACTTATCTCGTCCTACTTCTTTACTTATCTCTTTGACGCTGGCTTTCCTGTCCACCTATAGACCACTTACCTCTGATGCTCCACCTACTCATCTTTCACACTGTACCTCCGACCTCAAGTAACAGGCTATGTTTCCCACTTATATCCTTATCGCAAATCTGCCATGGTTATTTCTATAGCTGTTCCTCTATGAACCACAATACCATTCCATATTCTCTCTACATCTCGCTTCCATTTATCGCATACACCTACCACTTCTAGTACCTGTTTGGCTCTGGCTTTCCTCTCCCATTATGGAGCACCTACCTACGGTCCTCCAACGACTTATCTTTCACACTGTAGCTCCGCATTTTTGTGCGTAAGACCTCAAGTATCTGGCTATGTTGCCAACCTATAACCTTATCTCGTCCAACCCCTCCCCCTCTCAACTCTTATGCTCTTGCTCATTGGTCGTGCGAACCACCATACTCCGATGCTCCACGACTTACCTTCCACACCGTAGCGCCGCGTGTTTGAGCGTAGGACCTCAAGTACCAGGCTACGTTGCCCAATTATATCGTCATTGCCTAGCTGACATCCTTCGCTTATAACTGTTACCTTGCTAACCACAACACCATTGATGATTCTCTTTTCATCTCGCTTCAATTGTTCGTATATTCCGACAATTTTTCCTACATGTTTGGCTCTGGCTTTCCTCTCCTCCTGGACACCACCTACCTACGGTGCAGCAGATACTTATCTTATACAATGTAGCTCCGCACTTTTTTACTTGGCACCGCATCCATATCTTTACACATTTACAGGAATATAGCATCGCAGGATCCTCTTTTCCTTCTCACCTTAACTGCGGACTTAGTTTATGTAAATCGACGCTCTCATTTTCTACTGACAGCTTGGCATGCATGTCCAGTACTCACTTAAATAAGGTCTGATTCTTCTATGTACTACATCCCGAAACTTCCCTTTTGGTCATCACTGTCCATCTGACTTACCTGTGACCCCTTAGAGCTCTACCCTCGGGAGGCTCACTTAGTCTATTGAAAGAACGCTGTTCCATTTTATTTCACAGTTTGCTCAACTGCTTTGCTGGCACCTCCACGGTTCTATTGCTCCAGCTTTTGGTCTATTTACTCACCGCCCCAATGAGATAGGCTTTTGTCACAACGGTGTCCTGCACCTACTTTCCTTCGACGCACTACTCCACATTTCATGACATCTTGTTTCGGAACATAGGTTTTCTATTTTCATCCCCAATATTAGAAGGCACATTCAAACAGATGATGCCATAGTTTATAGTTACACATTTAAAAAGAGATAAAATGTTTGGATGGAAATGTTTGGTCAGAAGACGTAAATTGTATCATGTCTTCGCTATTTGGTGCATTCATATCAATCGCAAGGCATGCAACCATGATATGTAAATGAAAAATCAACACTACCAACATTATCATTCACGAAGAACCGCTGCTGTGCTTTCGAAAACAGCAGACTGTGGATTTAAGCCGACCCTGGTAGTTCAATTGCATGAC